CCACGCTGATTTAGGTACCAAAACAGCGTATCAAATTGAATGTGCCTTCAAAATATTTTCAACCGGAACTTCTTTATGTGCGACAATGTTGTATAACAATTTAGTTTGATATTCTAACATGCCCAAACTTATTGTATTTTGATCTATGGGTTGTAAAACTACTGTTACGATAGGTGGAAGAAGTATTGCCACAATGTTTTACATACGATCATCATACTTTAGCATGTCAATTGGCTTATGTGCAGTGCAGTTGAAAATTATTTTCAACAGAAAATTTGCGAATCTGCAAAAATTTTTATGTCATAAGTAATCATTGAAAAATGAAACCAAAAAAATAAGTTTACTTGTTTTATAAATGAATGATGAAACCAGTTGAAGAATATCTGTGAACTTATTCACCACTTGTTCGAATGAGCGTACTCCAATGGGTTTTCAAATCCCTTACGTATCGCTTGAAAGGATTTACCCACAAATTTTGAGATGACAAATTACTTAAAATTTGCCAGCCATCCATCATTTGCATTACATTTTTTTTTCCAGGATGCAGTATACCGAATTCGAGCTTAACTCTTGATTTAAAAATTGGATCAATCACTGCATAACAGTCACTGCTGTCGTTGGTTCAAGAACCATTTATACAAGTTTACCTCAAGATCACTCCAGTTTATGGAGTGTTTTCTTGTATGTATTTTCATGTGTTCGCCACTGCCTCCAAAATATCATTTTGTTTTTATTTTTGAGATGGCTACCTTAGATACACCATAATCCAAAGCCAATCGTATTGCACGAATACCGTCATCAATTTTTTTTTAAATCTCTACTTTCTGCTGTATGTATACCTAATCTGATTTTCGATGATTTCTTATGCTTTGTTGACATTTTTAGTCGGTCTTGACTAACTAAATCAAGGTTATTTGACGATGAAAATATATTTTTGCTCAAAACAGAAAAGAATTCGGGGAATACCCATAAACAAAATTAGAGCACTTGTTTGTGTTAGAAAATGAAAATACTGTAATAATTTGACAATGCAGATATAAGCAATATCACTCATATTACTAGTTTTTCCACACATTTTCAGGGGTTGTATATAGTACAGTATAGTTAGAAGTATATCATGCATTTAAATATATTTTAAAAATTCAAATTATTTATTATTTATTGAACGGATTATAATTTTTAAGTAATATATTATAATTTGTTTTTGATGTATCATGCAATACAAGTATACCGAGTCGGACATGTTTTGCAGTCGCTCCTATTTAAGTGAAAAAAAAGTAAAAAGTATCAAACTTACAGCGTCGGAAACTAAAAGAAAAAACGAGTAAACGGAAGTAAAGGTAGAACAATAAGTTGCGGTACGATTTCAAATGTATAAAGTGATTAAATCAAATAATAGTTTTCACAACTTAAAGCATCAATTTGCGCACGTTTTTTCTTTTTTTTAAATAAAATAAACAAGGCGCTCTCTTGTGGATCATATATTAGTAGCCAAATAAGAGTGATTTTTTGGTTTTTTTAATAACGTAATAAAAATCTGACAGAGAGAGTCCTATAATTAATTGTATAAATAAGTCAAGCAAACAAAAGTTAGCAAAAAAAAGTAAGCAAAAGTTAGCTAAGCAAACTGTTGACAGAGATAACTAATAAATGTTTAAATGTAAAAATTATGATAGATATAGTTTCTGTAATGCATGTAAAATAACATAGAATAAACAAAATAAATTTAATATAGTTGGTACACAAACCATATATTTCGAACTAAGGGATAATCGTAAATCTATTTGGCAAAACAAAAACATAGCATAGTTTTAAGGTAATTTACAAATTAGTTAAAAAATAATAAAATTTATCAATTAACAAGCATGCATCGTACGCCATCAAAAAACGTGAAGACATCATATAATCCGTCGGCTAAAAGGATGTTAGCTGAAACCTCGCCTGAAGACGGACCGAGTTGCTCTAATTATACTGTTAAAGTAGGCGATCTGAGTGTGAACCAACTAAAAGATATAATTAAGGATGGTAACAAAGAAGTTTTAGAAAAAATTACCTACCTCTCTGAGGATGTCATAGCGCTAAGGCAAGAAAACGAAAATCTAAAAAAAGAAATTGAAAATATCAAAGCTTATAGGGCTCTAGATAGTAAAAGGATTTCTATGCTTGAAACGCAAGCAAAAAGAAAAATTTGATTTTCAAAGGTCTACTGACGAACAAAGCATTAGGTGAACAAGTACAAAAACTACGCACTGATGTTCTCCAAGTTTCGGCATTAACAAAAATAAAAGAAACTAAAAAAATGTCAGAAAAAGACGATAAAATGACCGTTCTAGTAGAGATGGAAACAGAAGAAAACGCAGTAGAAGTACTGAAAAATGCTGGGAAGCTAGCAGGGACAGCAATATTTGTGGAACGGGACTCGAAAAACAGCAGAATAAAAGAATTATGCTGGAGTTAAAAAAGCAAATACTGCAAGTGAGCTCGAAACATCGCGTTACCGTTAGAGATGATAAATTACGGATAGGAAACAAATGGTTTAGGTGGAACAGAAATAATAAACTAATGAACGGTAATGATGATGCGGGTGCTGCTTTACAATTACTATCCGGTACTAAGGTAAAAAATATATGTACCAACTATATAGAACTGCACAATAAAATAAATCCAAAAAACTAGTCAAAAATAAAACAGCTTGCACAAATCAAAATGAACAAGCAACCACTGACCACACCCAAGTAATAGACTTAGAGTTAAAACTACTGTCATATAATATTGCAGGCATAACAAATAAGTTAATATATAAGCATTTCTTTAATTATGTCAATTCCTTTGACATTTTCTTTCTCTTTGAAACGTTTGCAGAGGCCAACCTGGAGAGATACGAACCGTATTTTCCAGATAATTTATTGTACGGCGTGCCAGCGATTATAACTTCCGACAGAGGACGGGCGAGTGGTGTACACTTTACCGAATTAAAAAACAACTAAATAAATCATTAAGATGCACTTTCATAAAGATTTTGAATACGGTGGTAGTTGAAATGAAGATAAGAAACGAAGATGTTATAATCATTCCGACATATCTCAACTGTGAAAATGGGCTGCAGATTACGAAGAGTTGTACGACACCTTTATTCAATTGAAATCAGTAAACGTGATGATCGTAGGAGATCTAAATGCCCGCATAGGTAGCAGCCAAGCGTTAACGGAAAGTATATATACAGCTGCTGGATATGCAAATACTCCTCGAAGTGCAAATGACAAAACATTAGATCCAAACGGCAAAAAACTCATTGAGCTATGTGAGTCTTTTAATTTAACAGTACTGAATGGAAGAACACGAAGCGACACAGAAGGCAGCAACACTTATTATAAAGCTCAAGCTGCATCAACCATCGATTACTGCTTGATAAATGGCAAATGGCACCACTATGTAACTGATTTCCTTGTTCAAAATGAATCCTTCTCCGATCACATGCCTCTATGCATCAACATCAACATGCAAAATATTCAATATGTGGAGGAAATGCAACTCTTACCCAAGCTACGATGGAGAGAACAACACGCGACAAGATACAGGGAGAAGCTGGACAGGATCACTGATAAATAAGCAAGCGCTGTTGAGCAAATACAAACTGATGATCTGCTGCTGTGCATTACCAAAGCAGCTGATTTTATGCAGAAACCTACCAGCACAATATGTCGCTAACCATGGTTTGATAGTGAATGTGGGGAAGCCCGTAACAAATCTATGAAATTTCTAACGCTGATGAGAAAAACATCATTAGATATCTCCAAAATAAATTATCATGCAGCAAATAAAGCTTTCAAAGAGATATGTAAACGGAAACACCAGGAATACTTTATGCAACTAGAGGTAGTTGTAAATGAAGTTACGGACAGTAAAGACTTTTGGGCTCTAGTCAGAACGCTAAATGGATCCAAATCATACAAACCTATTAAGGTGGATATTAGTATACTGGCTAGCTATTACAAAGGATTACTATATGAAGAAGTGTCGGCAGTACAACATAATTTCGCGTTGCCCTACTCTACAGTACAAGGACTGCATCATGAAATAAGCACCATAGAAGTAATGGCCGCGATAAAGCGAAGTAAACACAGGAAAGCACCAGGTGTGGACAGAGTACCGGCAGAATTTCTAAAAAATTCGTCAACGAAATTCGTAAATTATTTGACAACTGCCTATAATAGTATCTTTAAATCAGAGAACGTTCCTGATAGCTTCAAAACATTATATTTCCCATATTTAAAAAAGGCGATGTCGGCGACCCATCTAATTACAGAGGTATCTCTTTTCTTAATGTGATCACAAAAATATTCACCTCTATTCTTCTTACCCGACTAACTAACTGGATAGAAACATATCACTTACTGAGCGATTATCAGGCAGGTTTTAGGAAATTATACTCTACCGTAGACAGTATTTTTGTGCTGACCTCAATTGTAAAGGAGTTCCTCCAAAGTAAACGCAAATTATATATGTTTTTAGTAGGTTTCAAGGCGGCTTTTGACACCATTGATAGGCGTAGCCTCTTTCTGAAACTAAGTAATATTGGCATCTCAACAAAAATGTTAAGTGTAATTCAAAGCTTATATATCAAAAACGGAACTGCGTTTTGGGATAGTAAATATCTATCGGAATGGTTTGAGTCAAATAGTGGTGTCAAACAAGGTTGTCTTCTAAGTCCACTACTTTTTGCGCTGTATGTAGATGACATATCGTGTGTTTTGCCTGGTGGAGTTTGTCTTACTTGCAGAAGATGCCCAAACACTCCAGAAGATGATAAACGCACTGCAACAGTATTGTCAAACATGGGGCCTACAAATTAACTGCGATAGATGAAAAGTAATGAGTGTGGAAGACAACAGATGGGGTAGAACTAGAAGTAGTAAACGAATTCAAATATTTAGGAGTATTAATGACGTCAAACATGAATTTTGCAAATCACACTCCACAAAAACTTTCCGACTCAAAAGTGGCACTAAATGGTACGTGGAATCAACTTTTTAGTAGAAGAAATGTGTGTCATAGCACGAAATATAAAATGTTCGTAGCAACCGTCAGATCGATTATGTGTTACGCAGCACAAGTGTGGGGCTATCAACATTCCGATGATGCTGAAAAATTACTGCGGTTTTATATAAAGAAAATTTTTAAGTTACCCCAAAATACACCATCTTATGCAATTCATCTCGAATCGGGGCTGCCAATATTATATACATTCACATTACGACTGCATTTTGATTATATCAACAAAGTAATGAAAATGCAAGATCACCGGCTGCCAAAAATCGTCGTAAAATACATACTCCAATCCAGATCGCAGTTCTTTGCTCAATGGGATGCACTTGCTGAAGAATACAGCAGCTCCCCTTATCCTACTGAAACAGTTTTGTGGCGCCAATGGCAAACACAAGTACTCCAAAATATTGACCACAGCTCGAGAACCCAATTTGAAAGATAAGCACGTGTAAGCAGTACAAGAAATACATATAAGCTGTTGGAGTATAATCTAAACAATCGAAGTTCTTTCAATGACAAGTTTCAGGCCGCGACGATATCATTAATATTCAAGGCAAGGACAGAACTGATAAGGCTGAACTATGTTCCACACGTACAAACAACTAATACTGACTGCACCCTTTGCAATATGTATGAAAAAGAAGACATTATTCATCTCATGGGGCGCAGCCCTATCCTGTGTGAAATTAGATGGTTCCACTGGGGCAAAACCATATTAACTCCATCTGAATGCTATGATTCACTAAACAGTGCAGACTGGCGTAAACTAGTAGCCTTTTTAAGGGAAAGTTTGCAATACAGACGTGATGTACTGATGGATTGTGGCGAGCAATTCTGATGTTTTCAGATTGATGATGATTAGATGTACAGTGAATTACACTTAGAGTTTGGGATGCTAAAAACTAATATGTATATGTGTCTGCTATAAAGTATTTTTAGATTTTTAAGTTTTTCGGTCACATGAGTTATCATAATTTAAACATTTTAATTTCACTATTATTATATAATTATTTTATTAAATGAACATATACTGTAATCATTTAATTATATTATTTATTTTATACTCATATCCTTTTATTGTTTTTCTGAATTGGCTGAATCTTTTTTTTGTCTTTATAGCATTATATTGTTTATTATTACATATTTTTGCATTATGTTCGAATCGCGTTTAAACTTAATAGTTATAGACTTAATAGTTATTGTCTTAAATAATCTGTAGTTCTTATGTTATACATTATTAAAATATAAAATAAGTCAAATGTTAAAACTGCTGTAAATATGTTACAATTTAATAATCGCAAATAAAAGAACTTACTTACTACTACTACTATTATAATTTTTTTAACTTATAATTATTTTCTGTAGGTATAAATGGTTGGATAGTTATATTCCAGGCACAGCACCTGCTGTTATTACAAAGAAACTTATTCTTGATCAGTTCGTATTATCGCCTTATTTAATTATGTTGTTTTTTACGGGTATTATGAATATAAATGTTATTAATTAATCATCAAATGAACTTTTATTTTACAGGTATGTCAATAATGGAGAACTCGGAAAATATATTTTTGGATGTGCAGACGAAGTTTATTTCCACATTTTATAAGTCTTGTATGTTTTGGTTGCCAGCACAATCCATTAATTTTATGTTCATTATGCCAAAATACAGAGTACTATATATGGGAATTTGCGGATTTTTGTGGGTTAATATTTTATGTTGGGCTAAACGGCAAAAATAAGTTGGACTGAGAATATGTTATATGTTAAACTAATAAGTTAAAACTTTTATATATTATCAAATTAAAATAATATTTATATGTACAAAAATGTAGCAAAACATCACTGTTTCTGCATTTTTTTATCATAACAAAACTAGTGTAGTCCTTAAAGTCACAATAAACATATGCGGTACTTCTGTATTACCACTTTATTATCAATTTAAACACTTTTAAATATATGTTGTGAATGTTTATTATTTTGCGAGCATTCATTGTTTCACAAGTAATTACATGTTTTTTCTCTTGTTTCTGAGAAGTCGCGCTAAATACTGATGGACGTGGTTTTCTTACATGATCAGCACGTAAGAAGATATGACCTTTGTAAATAAACACTGGTTGTTTTAAGTGATTCAATGCTGAGGTGGGCCTTAACTGTTGCAATCCTCTGAATCCTCTTGATTCAGAAACTTTTCCTGATTGACTGTTGTGCCGTTGTTGACGAAAAATTCTCCAGGTAATCGTAACACGGTGCCATAAACTAGTTCTGTTGCTGACGTGCCTATGTATTCTTCGAATGCTGACCTCAAACCCACTAAAACTGATGGAAATAACTGCAACCATGTTTATTCGGGTCTGCAATGAGAGCTGTTTTCAGAGTACGATTGAATCGCTCTATTATGTCGTTCGCCCTTGAATGAAAAAAAATCGCATGAATGCCTTCAGTTTCCAGTAGGTCGGTGAGAACTCGAAACAAATCTATTTCAAAGTCGGTGCCTTGATCGGTTGTAATTAGCTTAGTGTCAAACCCAAGTGGTAAAGATACTTGCTGCCAATGAATCTGCTGTCATATTTTTGAGAGGTATTACGTCGGGCCACCGACTGAATCTGTCGATCATTGTCAGAGCATACCTATAACCTCGGCATTCTGGAAGAATGATCAGGTCAATGTGAACGTGATGAATCATTAGTCTGCTTCTGAAAAAGACATTGGAGCTGGTTTGATGTGTTTGGTGACATTTGCTTGTTGACAGCTTTGAGATTGACGTTAATTGATGTAATGTGGCTTTGACATAAGGTTGCGATAACTAATGTACTAGGTTAAATACATCTCTTCCCAGTGATTTGGGAACGAATGATCTTATGCGATCAGTTGTGATGTCGCAGTATGTATTCAAATTTTCTTGTAGCCGTAGCTTTTTTAGTTTTAACGAATTGGACTTAAATATTTGCTCCAACTCCTTGTCATTAATTTGATCATCAGTGATGCGTTCTAAACTGCATGATTAAGGCATTGTTATTGCACCTACCAGTGATAGAGCATCAGCTACTATGTTGTTAGGACCATACACGTGTGTTATATTCACTTTCTGTTTGAATGGAAAAGTGAGTTATTTGGGATCAATTTGAATCGTAGTGTCAGCTTCTAACATGTGTCATAAATGTTTGATCGAAAGATAAATTGCTAAGAGCTCCCTATCGTAAGCACTGTAATTTAGATGAGCTGCTCTTAACTTTGCAGAATAAAATGCAACTGGTATCTACTCATCACCTATTTGTTGTTCAGGAATGGAATCAATTGCGAAACTAGATGCATCCGTTGACTATCGAAATGGATATGTTGGTGATAAGTGTACTTATTTAGTGGCTGATAAAATACTTGATTTACATTGTTCGAATGCTGCATTCAGCTCCCGCGACCACACTACACTGAACTCCGACGAATACATTAAATCATTTGCAAACAAATTCAGATTTGAAGATTTGACAGATTTGTTTCCAACACAGCATTTGGGTGGTGACTTATCTCCATGAATAACACTTTCTTGTTTTCGGAACCTTTGCTTAAAGAAAATGTGGAAGGAGTGACACATTTGTGTACTTTTTCTTACGCGTTGAAGTTCTTTTATTTTTAGTAATAATTGTGTTTGCTTTGTGTCTCCTAATTGAAGATCATTTATTAACGTCTGAATCATGGTCCTGAATTTTGATTCAACTTGTATTAACCAAAGATCAGGCTTATTTTTCGAAAACTTACATAAGTTTTCGTCTTGAGTAGCAGGCACTAGCGTTGATGTCTTGCTTTTTTCATTCATTTTGATTTGGTTTGATTTTTTGTTGTTTTTTTAGTATTGACTGTGTAATGCTATTTTCAGTAGGGGTCACCAATAGTGGTGTGTGCCGCATTAATTTAATATAATTTATAAATGAAACAAAATAAAACACTTTTATATAATGCGTGTTGCACATACAAAACCAGTCTTTATTAATGTCATTCCTTACACTGACTTTTTATTACTTATCTTTATTATTTCACATCAAAATAAATATAAAAATAAATCAACTAAATAAATAGATAAAATCAAAAAAAATTATTTAGTGAATTATTCATGGGTGTTACTTAAATTAATTTAAATTAAGTGTACAATAATGTATTATATCGTAATTACAAAAAAAAAGGGGTGATGAATTAAATATTTGTATTGCTTTATTATTATTAAAAACGTATATTTCAATATTTTTAAAAGTCTCAGTAGACTACTCTGAAGCATTTTGATGAAGCATTTTTATTTATGCGATTTTTCGAATTAATTTAATTAAATAATCGTTGTATGATATTGATAAAGAGATTCTTAGAAGAATATCCAAAAGTAATTATAAAATAATTTCAGAAAGTAACATACATTATCAGTTTGACTATATAGCACGAGCTTTTATGCCAAAGTGGATATTCTTCCGAAATATTTAGAGCTATTGTAAAAAAAGATAATTTGATCATAAAAAAAATTGAAATTCCCTCACCAAATGAAGAAACTCGTTTAGATATTCTCAAAATTCTTTCGCGTAAAATTAACTTGACCCGCTGCATTAATTTGCGTAATATAGCTGAACTTATACCGGGAGCTTCTGGTGCAAAAGTTAAAGGCGTTTGCATGGAAGCTGTTATGTACGCATTGCGTGAGCGTCATGTGCATGTTGCTCAAGAAGATTTTAAAATGGCTGTTGCTAAAGTTATGCAGAAGGATTCAGAGAAGAACACATTATGGAAGTAAATTTTAAAACTTTTAAAACATATTTATACACCGATTATCATAAAATGATTATTGATTTGTAATTGAATTATCATTTCTTGGATCTTCACAATTAAAAATTAAAAACTTAATATAACATTTACGTTTTTTGTATTTGCTAATTTTTTGTGAGAAACTCATAATTAATTTCTTTTTTGCTATTAAAAGCGGATTAAAAGCGTTGTGTATTAGATTAAGTGTTGGTTTCTAATATTTTGGTCTTATTACTACATATTTTATTACAGTTGTAGATAATTTTAATTTATATAAAAAATGTTTTGTCTTAAAAATGTTTTGAAAACCTCTTGAGTTGCGTTTTCGAAATAAAAAATTTCGTAACATTCCACAGTACAGTAAAAATCTGTGGGATTATTGACTTTGTCTCGGACTTCATCATCATTGCCGCTGCCACTAAAAACATTAGTGGAGGTTTTGTTGTTTGCAATCAAGTAAGATTCAATAAATCAAAGGACTTATCTCGGCTTCAACAGCAAATTATTTGCAGAAGTTGCATAAATTAGAGGAATTATTCTCGACTCAAGACATGCTGTACACCAAAAAAATATTCAATGTATTTTACAAACAAATTATTGAAAGCAACTGGTGCAAAGAGTAGTACCAATATTTTCCAAACAAGTATAATATCGTTAAAGGTAAAAATTCAATATTTTACTGACCACCAGTCCTAATGATACCCTTATTTTGAAGTTATTTAGGTCACCATCATTTAGAATTATTGTCACAAAGTAAATTTAAATCTAGCCAGATTTATATATAAAAAATTCAAAAAACACAACACAATTAGTTGAATAAATCAAATTTTATTTCATTTGTTAATAAATTACTAAAACCGTATTTGTAATCATTATAAGATCTGAACTAAAAGGTAAGTCAAAAATTGTATTTGTTATGAAGACAACAGCAGGCCGATTCCACTAATCGCTATCGCTAAAACTTCAATCTCTTCGCTAAAATTCTTAAATAAGCGATTCGCTTATTTTAGGAGAATTAGCGATTGTGCGATTCTGCTAACACAATCTCTTCGCTAAATTTATCCGGCGATGCGGATAAATGCTGAAATACACTGAAATGTCAAAATAAATACAAAAATTGTAAACAAATAACAGCTGTTGGACTTATAATTTAAATTTGAAATTTAAAAGCACATACTTCAACAAAAAAATATTTAGCAATTCTGAAATTTAAATTAATATACAATTAATATAACATTGGTGTGTGAATTAATTAAATAATGGACTTTTTGATAAGAAGGAGATTTTTTTTTTCTAGTGTTGTGAGAGATTCACGGAATTATTAATGATGTTGACTGCGCAAAAAACACGGACGAAAAATAAATGAAGATAAGGACTTTGAAGCACAAGAACCTGTCCCTGAAGCGTTTCTAGCAAGAGAGGAAATAATCAATAATTATTTTCAATATTAATTGGGTTTTATTTAATTGACTTTTTATTAAAAGTTTAAATATATATTTATTTATATTGTTATTATTTTAATATTATAATATTTTATTAATAATATATAAATTGTTATTATGACCAACATTCAACACTTTTTTATTAATACTCTGGCCTTAGGTCGTTAATTTAACACATAAAAATTACACTTATTAATTTGTGTTAAATATTTAATTGGTTTTTAGTTTTTATAAAAACTTATTTGTATTACAAATATTTGGCTCTACTTCGTAGACCATCTTCAGTGTTCAATGAGGCAGAAAAACCTTAAAAATAAACAATTATTTTATTAATAAAAAAAGCGCAAATTTCCACATCACCCTTGAGGTATTGCACATAATGCGTTAACCAAATTATCTTATATGGCTGGTTCCCCTGTAGGCCACCATAAAAAGCTTAGATTAATTCTATTCTATATATTAAAATTGTTAATTGCATCCGCTAACAGTTTTATAGCATCTGTATGCTCTTTACTGGCCTGCACGCGTTCGTCCGCAATCTCCTTCTCTTGTTTGAGCTTTTTTTCCTCCAGCTCAAGTCGACGCTCCTCAAGCCTCAACCTTTTAAAGGCACACAATTCTCATTGTTGCCATCAGCAGATGGACCTGAACCGCTTGGCAGTTCCTTTCCCTCCTCAATGTACTTTAATTAATAATTTAAGGATTTAGATTAGTAATTTAAAACTATATAAAAAATAAAAGCGATAATAAGGCATTCGCCTCTAATACTTACCTCTAAATCATAAAAACATGAAATGTTACTTTCAAAGTACACTGCAGGCTCGCAGACATCTTCTATGCCTTGCACCGCTACTGGATGCATTACTGCAATAATCCGTTCATCTAGATCAGTTAAATCCTTAATGCCAACGGACGCATTTCCAGTCAGCCCCATTGCATGTTTATAGTCTTGCACTTTTTTCTTGCTTTTGGATCTAAAATTAAACAATAGAGTTTTTTTATTTGCAATTTTTCAATATAGTTTCTACAACTATAAAATTAAAAGCAACGATGTTATTTTACATGTTTTTATGTATAATTCTTTTATATATCTTATATATAAAATTAAGATTGTCAAAATGTTAGTTACCGTACTCCTCCGAAACGGCTTTACCGATTTTTACCAAATTTTATATGCGTATTCAGTAGGTCTGGGAATCGGCTACTATCTATTTTTCATACCGCTAAAGTGATTATTGTGTCCCTATCCAGCAAAAATATCTTTATTGCTTTAACAAAAATTTTTTTATTTTTTTGACATAAATTTTTTTATATTTTTAAAAAAGAAAACTTGCTATGATATGAAAAGTTGTTGTCTATGAAAATACTGAATTCATAAAACTGCCCCCTAAAATCTGCACTATCGTTGATTCCCAAAATGCTCTCATTGACCGCGTATTTCCAGATGTACACATACAATACATAAATCATGGGTGGCTGGCAGAAAGAGCCATTAGCAGCAAAAAAAACGTGGACGTTGATGAATTAAAGTTCAAGATAAAACAGACATTGCCGGGCGACTTAATATCATACAAATCGATCGATACAGTTTGTGATACCAACGAAGTTGTAAACTATCCAGCAGAATTTTTAAACTCACTGGATTTGCCAGGCATCCCACCACACATTTTACGACTGAAAGGTGGATCACCGATTATTTTACTTCGGAATTTGAACCCACCACGGCTATGCAATAGTACGCGATTGGTAATTAAAAAATTGATGAAAAACATTATCGAAGCCACCATTTTGAATCGCAAGGTCCGAAACGAAAAAGTTTTATTGCCACGAATTCCAATGATTCTCACAGACAAGCCAATTTAATTCAAACACGTTAAATTTTCTATTAGATTGGCATTTGCAAAGACCATCAATAAGTCACAAGGCCAAACGATGTCTGTTTGCGGTCTTATATATAAAATTTCCATGTCACAATGTTAGTTACCGTACTCCTCCGAAACAGCTTTACCGATTTTTACCAAATTTTATATGCGTATTCAGTAGGTCTGAGAATCGGCTACTATCTATTTTTCATACCGCTAAAGTGATTAGGGAGTCCCAACCTAGCAAAAATATCCTTATTGCTTTAACAAAAAATTTTTTTATTTTTGACATAAATTTTGTTTATATTTTTGAAAAAGAAAAATTTTTTTCTTAATATTTTATGTAACTACGCCAACAAGTACATCGAGCATTTACATACACTTCGTTCTTCGTCTTCGCCTTGCATGGCAGATGGAAAATGTACTAAAAATTGAAATCTAAAGCTTTCACTAATGATACTATAACAAATACCGACGGATATCCAATATATCGTCGAAGAAATCCCGATAATGGGGGACAATGGCGGGTGGTGCCGTATTCGCCTCTGCTAAGCTAAACATACAATGCTCATTATTAATGTTGAGTTTTGCAGTTCTGTGAAGAGCATCAAATATATAAGTATGTCCATAAAGGCAGTGATATGGCTGTGTTTAGAGTAGAAAATACTAATATAAATGCTCCTCCAATGAACAAAAACGGTGAAATTACGCTCTACCAAATTGGTCGGTACATCAGCTCCAATGAAGCTGCTTGGCGTATCTTCGGTTTTCTAATTCATGAACGGGATCCAGCAGCTGTTCAGGTAGCCGTTCATCTTGAAAACGGTCAGCGTATTTTTTTCACGAACGAGACAGTGATTGATCGTGGTACAAATCCACCTAAATCTACACTCATTGCATTTTTTTAATTGTGTAATAGTACGGATGATTTTGGTGCCTTTGCAAGAACATTACTCTATTCACAAGTACCACGCTATTTCACATGGGCTCAAAAAAAAATGGATGCCCCGCAAGCAAGTTTCACCAGTTTATGCATGTCTCAATTTATTTAAATCGAACGCTTATTTATAGTTAATCCAAGACACACTGAGTGCTTTTATCTTCGACTGTTGTTGGTTAATGTTACTGGCCAATTATCATTATTATTATTTACAGTCAATCCAAGACAATTTAAATTTGAAGATACAACAGTTGTTGCCAGGGAACTTGGTATCATACAAATTTATTGATTTTAAATTAATAATTTAATAAATGAACTATAATAACTTAAAAATAATATTGTTTGGCGTTTATTTTTATTTTCCTTTTCGTTCATAGCGCTCCATGCCTATTTCATGCATATACCACATACTTACACACTTATAATAAGTAAGTTACTTTTTGTCTACACTAGAATTTATCTAGAAACTAGAAATAATTTATAAGGCAAAACAACGTTTGTCGGATTATCTAGTAATAATATAAAATATATTTTTATTAACTGTTAACATATCTTATTTTAATTTTTAACTACTTACTTCATGTTGACCCATGCCTTCTGCTAACCATTGGCATCTTTAACTGCTCCACCAACGGCATTTAAAATAGCAGCTAGAGAGCTCCACTGTTCATTAAGACTTCGCGCACCATGATCCGACATAAATCTGTCATGAGCGAAATCTTTATCCTCTTCCATATGCTAATTCGTTTTGACTTTAA